ACTAATGCTAAAAGAAAACTATTATTCTTATAATATAAGTTTTCAATAATACAAAGGGATCCCTTTGTTCAAATCAAAATAACAAACACATCTGTCTTCAAGTTGTAATTTGACATTTTGTGATTGCTTAGAATAAATACAAGTCCAACATTGTACTGTCGTCTGTCGTTCAATGACTATCACAAATAAGACAAGAATTCAAATATTAAGATTCTGTTTGGAATTTGAATGAATAAGTTCACTTGTATTCGTTAATAATTCATTTTTCGAATAATTATAGCAACGGACTCCGCTCTTGAGTACGCCCATTGTCAGCCATAATTCATTTAAAAAATAATGAAAATAAAATGTCTTACCTTTAAAGCCCTTTGAGAAATCAATTCCTTCTCCTGGTATCATTTGTTTTGGACCAATTTTGGATCTCTTCAATCGGTTTCAAAAATGTACAGTAATTTCAAATGTTCATCCCAACGAAGATTTCACTTAGATAATAGATAATAAATTATCCTATATATGTAATGTTGGATTTGTTTTGTTTCCACTGAATGATGGCGCGAATCTAACGTCAAAACGTAAAGAATAAATAAATACCCAATCACTTGTTAAAAATAATCACTATTATTCTTATTTGATTCTGATTGTTGTTATTTCATATTGCATATCATATTTTTATTATTTTTTATCACAAATAGCACTAAATTAAAGAATAAATATTAATAAACATTTTTTTAAATGTACACATATCACAAACGATTAGACCAACTGAACTGAACATAACCTCAACCCTAGACAATATTAAATGACAGGTTGTGTTGAATCTTGAAATGGTTTTTGATTAACAATATTTATTATTAAATGATGCAACTGCTGATAGTAAAAATGCATCAATGTACGTATAATTAAATTTTGACTTTATTTGAATTTATGAACTTGTTAAAAATATACAAATATATTTAGCTTCTCAAAGGAGTTCTTCTTACACAAACGCAATTAACGGCGGGAGGAGGTGCTGGCGAAGGCCTATCAGTTGCAGATTTAGCAAAGGATATTCTAAATCGATTACCACCTGACTATGATGTTGAAGCAGTTTCTGAAAAATATCCCGTTATGTACTCAAACTCAATGAATACAGTTCTACGTCAGGTAATTAAAATACCAATTTTTTTTATTGTATTATTAACTCATAAGCATTCTGAACTCATAAATAAACTTTAGCATATTTTAAAAATATTTGTATTATTTAGGATGAAACTTGATTTTGACTGGACATTCATGAAACTGAAAATATTCTTCAGTATGCTGCTTATCTGTTGTTTATTTAATTATTTATATTTCAGGAGTTGATAAGATTTAATCGATTGATAGTTGTGATTCGACAAACATTAATTGATGTTGGGAAAGCTGTTAAAGGACTTTTAGCTATGGTTGGTGAATTAGAGGAAGTTCATGGATCTTTGTTAACAGGACGAGTGCCAAAAACGTGGGCTTCTAAATCTTATCCCTCACTTAAACCTCTAGGTGGCTATATTAATGATTTACTGATAAGGTGACTATGTTTATAAATATGTTTATAAATAAGCAAGCAGGTTGTTAGAAAAATGTGTGTTTTAGACATATAATAGATTATCTAACTCATTGTTTCAAATATTTTAATTGAGTATTTTATTTTATTAAAAGAAACTAATCTATGATCTTTTATATATGCATTTAATAATTATTGTAAATATAAAACATTGAGAATTATCTTCTTTGTCAAGCAGTAGTAAAATAGGATTGTAGGAATATGAAGGCTGCAGTAGAAATTTGCTAGATATATATATATATATATATATATATATATATATATATATATATATATATATGTATATAAACTTCTACAACATTTATTTGTAATTTATCAGGCTAAAGTTTCTTCAGAACTGGATAGATGAAGGACCTCCTAACGTCTTTTGGTTATCAGGATTTTTCTTCACTCAATCATTTTTAACGGGCGTTTTGCAAAACTATTCGCGTGGTAATAAGTTGCCAATTGATCTGGTTGGACTTGATTTTGACGTAACAGAATATGAAACTGAATGTAAGGAAGAACCGGCAGTTGGTGTTCTAATTAATGTAAGAAGTGTTACAAACAATACTTTATTAAATAATAAGTAATATGATTAGGTTTCAATGAACCTACAAATAAATTGAATTTTTTATAACATGCAGCAAGGACAATTAAAAGAAATACATAGTGTTTATTATGACGTAAGTTACAGATAATAAAAATCAAATATTTTGCATGGATACAGTATGACTAAATTGCTACTTTTCTAAATATTTGCTAGTTATTGAAAATGCAAGCATTTATAAGTTTAACATATTCATTTTACTATATATAAATATTATATAGGGTTTGTTTATGGAGGGAGCAAGATGGGACAGAAAACGAAAAATGCTTGGAGAATCTTTGCCAAAAATATTGTTTGATGTTATTCCTATAATGTGGTGCAAGCCTGGAGTTAAAGGGAAAAAAAGTAATATCGTTGATTATATAATGATTATGGAATTTAAAATAAAATTGATCTTTTGGTAATATTTAATAATAATATATAAATTTCATTTTAATTATTAGATATTTAATTAAATCTTACATTGTTTAAAAATTAATTAAGTGAGAAATTTTGTATTATTATTATTATTATTATTATTATTATTATTATTATTATTATTATTATTATTAATACTGAATATATTTTTAGCTGCTAATGTCTACAATTGTCCTGTTTATAAAACAAGTGAAAGAAGAGGCATTCTTTCTACAACTGGTCACTCAACTAATTTTGTAATGTTTACTGATTTTCTTTCTGATCAGCCCCAATCACATTGGATAAATAGGGGTGTTGCTTGTCTTTGCCAATTGGACGACTGAATTAAAAATGTACATATATTATATTAAAATATGTTTATTTAAGATATAATAAATCATGAGCAAAATTACATAAAACTTAGTTTTCATATATATTTTTTTAACATAATTTTGTAAAATTACTTGCATTGATCTGTGATGTCTTCAATTATTGTATTGTCTGAAGATAAATTTGTGATAACATAAAGATTATCTTTATTAACAACATCGGAATTTGAGTTGTATTGATTTCCTTCCTCTGGATAACTCGGAGTTTGATACACATAGCTAGCAGGATCAGGAGAATAAGTTTGATATGAACTTTCATTACAATTATTTTGTATTTTGACAGTTTTAGTTGTTGTAGTGTGTGTCGTACACTTTTTACTTAAGTTAGTCTTTATTTGCTTCTTCTCTGATTCCATTATTATTGTACATGGTGGATTACCTACGTCGCCTGCAGTGCCTGTATATTTATTTATGGCATTGCAAGTGCTTGCTGAATATGAATTATTTTGATAACAATTGTATAAACTTGGAAGTACAATTTGCTGAACTGGTGCCAATGTTAAACAGTAAGTTCCATTACTTTGTTGTGAAGGATAAGAATACACTGATTGATTTCCGACAGGAATTTGTGGAGAGTAGTAATTATTTATTTGAGAACTGCGTGGACTTATAGCATTCAGTCTATTTATTTGAGAACTGCGTGGATTTAGAGCATTTAGTCTATTTATTTGAGAACAGCGTGGATTTAAAGCATTTAGTCGAGCCTTATGCAATCTTTTCGAAATACGCGAATCAATGTTTTTAAAAGAGCATAGACAATCTTTTATTTTCAAACGTTCTGAACATTTTGTGCAATATATTTCTTCAGCTGTATTTACACCTATACTTCTTTTACTCACGTTATTTTCTTCCTTTGCAATACTATCTGGTAGATCTAAGTAATTACTTTGCTCCATCTTATATAAACCATTTAAATACTTAAAATTTTGAATTTTTATCAAACGTGACGCAGATGGTAAAGCGTTTCGTATTTTGTTTTTGAATTTTGAAACTCGCGCGCCGGATACGGAGCGAGCTCGAATCATATGTCACGTGGTAATTTGCTTTATGTAACTTGTTTACGAGGCAGAACAACAAATAGAAAATAATGGCGGAATATTGACTGAACGTGCACTAATGTAATGAGTGACATGTGTTTTTTTTCAATATATTGACGAGTGATAATAATTGTGTTATATTATATAATATGGATTCGTTTTTCATTGCAATTGAAGATAATATATTAACATTAAACTTATTGCTATACTTAATAAAAAAAATTTAATAGCTTGTTATTGTATTAGTAGACCAACCCTACTAATTTTCATAGTCTAAAATAAATGTTGATAAATTTACGGTATTATTTATAAATAAACAAATTATCATATAATATTAAGTTTTTATCCTTTCTTGTCGAGAAGTGAAAACAAGTGTTGTGTAAGCCCTAGTCAGAAGTGTGTAGTGTATGTCCAAATTTCCAAATGTCCCAATATCCAAGAATTCACGAAAGCGATGCCTTGGCCTTGCTGGCATTGAAATCGGCCCCAGCAAGTCCGTCCAAGCTCCAATGGAGCCCCGAAAATAAGGGCACGGTAATCGCGAGGCTAGAAGGACGCGAGTTCGAGTATTTAGTACGACAAAAACACATAGTTATCGGTCGCAATTCGAGTAGAGGCGAAGTTGATGTTAATATGGGACATTCTAGTTTTATTTCGAGGAGACATATAGAAGTATTCTTCGAGCACCCCACGTTTTTAATGACATGCAATGGAAAGAACGGTGTGTTTGTGGATGGTGTTTTTCAGCGAAAAGGAGCCCCTGCATTACAGTTACCGAGGACGTGAGTATGATAGTTGCATTGTGTTGATTTTTGTTTTAAAAAAATTACGCGAATAATAATTCATAACCTCAAAATATTTTGATGTGACGTCATTGCTTGTATTGATCTCGAAGCCGCGTTGGGTCACGTGATCCTTGACGCAGTTTTAGGTTAGAATAATCAAAACAACAACATTAGAATGTTAAAATCATGTTTGCATGTGCGTATTGTCGATTACATTCTATGTGTTTCCCATATGTTTAACTAAACACATTACAAACGTTAAGTCAATAGCCTTAGTCTATTATTGCTCGTGTATCGTTTTGTTTTGAACAAGATATTAGGAAATGAAAACTATGCGAATGGGCATTGTCGGAATCCGAGTCGAAGAGCTCAGAATAAGCTCGAGTTCTCACTTTCTCTCGTAATAATGTTCAATGTGCATGTATTTCCAATTTGAATACAACGTACAATCGGCCTCTGCTGCGTGTAATACAAATCGATATTTGGGAATGCTTTTTTAGAAGGGTATCTCGACGGACGCGAAAGTGAATACATTGTAACATGCTTTAATGAAACTTATGCTGCCTATTCAGTACAACATTTCAATGAAAAAAAACTTGCACAACCATTAATAAGAAAAATTTTATTCACATCGAAAATTTTGTTATCTACATAAAAATGGACAATGTTAAAATTGCCAAGTACCACTTCTTGAAAAGTTCAAATATATTGTACAAATTACATTGGAAGGAACTTTTTCTTGAAATTACTTATCTAAATATTACTGCTACTGCTGCTCTTAAAACGATTTACAATAAACGATTTCAAATTGTAATTCTGATATTGATTACTATCAATATATGACATTTATCTCAATTATTTTTCTATTAATTTCATTTTCAGAACTACTGTAGTTTATATAAAATATCCCAAATGTCTTCGAAAGACTAAGTAAACTGTTCAGACACTGTTATGTAGATGAATCTCTGCAATCGATTTTAATAATGAAATAATAAATTTTATATCATTTTACTCTGTTATATGTATATATTATTGAGGTTTTTTCTTCGACGTTGAAACAAATACCGAAAACCTTAGCAGCCAATATGTCTAGTATAAAATAAGAAATATACTATACACGTTATATTGCAATTTTATATGGTTTAATAATTGTCCTTTGTAATTCCATCAAATAAACTAGTCATTCCATCAAAAATTTGACTTTTGTGCTGTGCAGTTTTATTTACTTTGCTATATAGTTAAATTTCTGAAGGAGGTATTAGAAAATGATTCGATGTAAATATTGCTTACATTTGTACCCCAGCTGTCGCACTATGCCGCTTGTAGCAAACGGTCTGCCTAGCAACAGCGTTTCGGTGCGAAGAATATCTAAATGGCAAAGCGGTGTGGTGGTACCGTTTACCAGTGTAGGACACGTGCGATTTATCAAACTGGGCTCTGTGTTTACACACGGCGAAACGATTGTGTGCGTGTGTAAACAAATTGCGTTGGTTTTTAGTTACCTATCATAATTACTTAGTCTTATGCTATCTTCATGTTTTGGCTAAGAGATATATTCATTAAATGGAAACAGTAATTGATAAATTTTTTTTTTTTTTTTAATTTTATTTAATTTTTATTTGAACACCAATCAGAACTAATGTGTTCTATGAGCTGTTGTAAGATCTTACAAACTACGTTTGTTTTATTACAGATGGGAACCCAAACAGTTGTCACATCTCTGTATGATAAATTTTTATTACAATCTCTCTAATAGGGCAAGTATGGTGCAACAATGCCGGGTGAGGGCTATTTTCACTTGGAAACATATTGCTATCTATATTTCCAAGTGAAAAGCGTTGTCAATGTTGCCTGACAACAGGCTGCTCAAAGTGGGTATCGAACCCGGGACCTCTGAAACAAGTCCCGTCGCTCTTAACCGCTTACCTACGGGCGAGCCCAAATTGATAAATTAAAGATTTTTTAAAGTTTTTTATTAAAATGTTACATCTCATGTTTGGTATTGGTTCTTTATTTTATTTTTTCTCATTTTACTTAAAAAATATAGCACAAATTTAAATATAAGCACATGAGATTTGATGTTTTTTAGTTTCAAAGACCAAGATTTTTGAAGGCTATATAGTTTAGTTTTTGAAACCATGTGTTATGCGAATTATCGCAATTTTAATAACTAGTTTTTTAGTACATTGAGAATACCGCCTTCCCACGTTTCGGTAGTATAGTGTATTTCATACTACTAAAAATAGTAGCTTTGGCTCATGCGCGTTCTTACAAGGACACGAAAGATATAAATAATATATGTGTATTATTGTTTGTATATTATTCTATATATGTTAGTTACTTTTTCTGAAAATATTTTCCTCATTGCGGCGTCCACAGTGGCGCACTAAAAAATCTTTAGGAAGTAGCTAAATTTATTTCTTTATATACACATGTATATATAGTAACTATTTATGTATTTATAATGCAATTTATGTAGTACAAGTGATTCTCGAAATTATCTTGATTTATGATAAGATTTTGGCAGATGCATAGACGTGCATACTTACATAACAGGATCTATTTAGATCCTTCAACCACTAATGATCTAACTAAAACCGTCTCTCAAAGTCTTGCTTGAATGTTATTGTTAATTCGGTGCAACAAATCAGAAAACATCAATAATGTTCAATGAGATCATCTCTTATAAGCAATAACATTCTGAAGTATTGAATCAGCATATCTTAATGAAATTGGAACTCTTCAACTACATTTCATATGTTCACCAATATCTAAATATAACTTGATTAATAAATATATTTATCACAACAATTTTTTTGAAATACTTCACATACTTACTTCATATGCTTTTTTTAATATACTTAATCCTATTTTAAAAAAAATAATTTTCAGTACTAGTTCTAGCAATTTGCTTTAAGGCACGATGCCATGCATCACTACTTTCATCCTTAACCAGTAAACTAAATAGAAAAAAAACAATGCTTCCCTAAAATTTGGTACCTTTTCTTCTGGAATACGTTTCGCAAAAACGTTCTATTGATTTGTGCAATGTGCTCGGCTAGGCGGGTGTTATACTCAGTCTTCATTCATTATTGATCTCAATGTTTAATACATTTTTTTTAATAAAATTATACTTAATGAATCTATATCTGGATTAGTAAATTGTCTGACAAAGAAAATTATATGTAACAAACAAATTTATGTAATAAATTTTAACGATTGTATTGTTCCTTATAATACGAACAACAAACGGACATTGTTATTTTTCATTCGTTTTAAACAATTGTTGAATTGTTTATGGCTGTTGACAATAAATTATATTAATAAATGAATGATTAATTTAATGAAATGCAAAATGATTTCAAAATTATTTTTTAATGAGTGGGTTTTATATGTTTCTATTCTTACGTCATGCACAAAAAGTATTGTGTGTTTGTGATTTTTCTAATTTTTTAATTTTGCTATTTAGTTAATGCAAATATATAAGATCCTTATTGGATTCAAAGGTAAATTGCGGCAGGAAATCTAAGATCAATGAAAAAATATAAAAGAAATACTTAAAAGCCTATTTATTATCTGATGCCACTATTAATTATTTCTGGAATTTAATTGTTTGAAGGCTTGAAAAAAGTAGTAAGAAAAAGTAAAGCTCTATTCTAATGGAAAATTACAATTACTAATCAATCGCACAATGCGTTATGTTTATATAATCGAAGAATAGTTCTACCTGTTTATTCAACATTTATATGAACCGATAAAAGTTATTGGTTGCTCTATTCATTACAATAACAGGATTTCCTATCAACCTGTTCTGCCATAAAACTATTTATAGTATCTGTTGGTCATTCATATAATGTAAACAACAATGTTTCTACGCACAGTGTTTCTCAAAACACTGTATAGAAAGATACAAACAAAAAAAAGAATCAGAATTTTTTAATTTCAGAATATATCACATATTTCTATTATGTATATATATATATATATGTGAAATTTGTGCATGTACATTTTATTTAATAATTTTTATTTTATTTTATATGAATTCGAATGCATTCGAATTTCTATGTTTTTATATGAATGAATTCCATCGATACCGAAGTTATTACAGAAATATTTCTAGAATTTTTCTCATAAAATCCTTGGATATCAAAAATCACATTTAAATATTGTTACAAAATATTTGTCACGAAGCAATGCTAAAAATATCGAGCGTTGAACATAGCTATTCTTACTTATAATGAGGGGTTGTAAATTTGAATATTGGAATTTATTTTTAGAATTTTTTTTTTACAATTAATTAAGGTTATCGTGAATAGTACAGCAAAGAAAAATGGGTTTCCAAATTAAAAAGGTTTAAAGAAAGTTCAATGGCAGCGACGTAGTTTTTTTTTTAATAATAACACTAACTTTTGAATTTAAGGATTTACAGATATTAGAATTTGGGTTCAGTTAGTGATTCATGTTATTTTATTTGTCATGTCAAATAACTACTGGGGCTCGCCCGTAGGTAAGCGGTTAAGAGCGACGGGACTTGTTTCAGAGGTTCCGGGTTCGATACCCACTTCGAGACGCCTGTTGTCAGGCAGCAGTGACAACAATTTTCACTTGGAAATATAGATAGCAATATGTTGCCAAGTGACAATAGCCTTCACCCGGCATTGTTGCATCATACTTGCCCTATTACAGAGATTGTAATAAAAATTTATCATACAGAGATGTGACAACTGTTTGGGTTGCCATCTGTAATAAAACCAACGTAGTTTGTAAGATCTTGATCACAACAGCTCATAGAACCCATAAGTTCTGATCGCTGTTCAAATAAAAATTATATAAAAAAAAACTACTGAAGCACGTAGTGTTCATCTTAAATATTTTTTTGTATTTTGATCATTTACATTGCGTGATTGAGAGTATTTAAACTGCCTTTATATTTGTTATATTGGCTTTTATTCGTCCATAAGGAAAAACAACAAGACATTAGTTAATTTCAGTAATTTCATGGGAGGAGAGAAAGATTCTACATGTTACACAATACGCACGTGTCGTTCCCGGTTTGCATACCTAATATTATAATAAAACCACTTTTAACATCTTAAGATTAGTCTTTCGATTTTGACATATTTATGTTTAGTATATAACTTTTTTGTTGGCTTAAATTTATAAGTGCTATGCTTTATTTTATTTATACTCCAATTTTTTTTAAGTTCAACAATTTTGTCACAATGACTAGAACGGAAAAAATCACCCCGACCGCCAATCCTGTTTTGGCCAATGTTTTTGTATGTTTCAGAATTTCAATATTCAGCAGCGATTGGCAGTTGGAAATTAGTATAAAGTTTTTCAAACGGTTTAAAATGCTTGTCAAATATTTAGGTTTTTGTACTGTTTAACGAAACAATACTTCCACAAATGGAGTGGAGTACCCAAATTATAACAGTTTGAGGAAATAGCGTTTTGACAGTAAATAGTACCATTTTGTATGAGAAGCGCGACGTAACATAGCATTACTATAACATTGATTACTTACATTATTTTACGGCAGAATTGGCCCCCAAAATTTATTCTGAAAATATATTACTATTACGTTAACAACATCCTACATAATATTCTTTTCCATTTTTTTTTCTAAAGATGCAATCACAAACTGTAATTATGAAGAATAATATGCAAAGTTAAAACCGAAATAGTTTACCCAGTGGTATCCCCCTTCTTTGAAAAAGTATTCGTGAACTAAATGACTTTTTAGAAATATAACTAATAATTTAAATACATAACAATAGTGATATGCTAATAAAGTATTAATAATAAACGTGAACAGAATAAAAAAAAAGTTAAAAATTTGAAAAAGTCGTATATGCGCGGTAGATGCAAACGAAAGGTAGTTTTCTTTAATGTAATCAGTATGTCAAAAATAAAATGTTGCTTATAAAAATTAAAAATTTTAATTGACTCATTTATTTGTTTAGGTGTACGTTCCGATTTCCAAGCACGAACATACGGCTGATATTCCACTCGCTGGTTGACGAGGGGGGCGAACCGCCGCCACTGACCAGCCCCTCTCCAAGTCCAGGAAGACCGCTACCGCCACTTCGCATCAGCATACCGGAAAACGACACCGGAAGAAGTCCTTTCCCATCGCCCACTGGTGAGTGTTCGAGTTTAAAAGATCTCTAATTGAGTTAACAATGTCTATCAACTAGAATCGTTCATGAAAACACATGAAACTAACAGGAAATTGCAACTTAGCAGATGTATTTTGCAGGAATTTAGACTTAACTATTGAAATATTTCAACAGAAATTTAATTGAAATTTTTATTGAACAACTAGCAAACCCGACGAACTCCGTTTTGCCACCAGATGGTTTCGTGAGAAAGATGAAGAAATTTTTTTTTTGTTTTATATTTGAAAAGGAAAAATGTGATTTTATTATACAACAGTAATGAATTTATTTCGATTACAAAAATGAAGTGTTTTTCAGTTGAACTTCTCTAAGTTAAGCAAATTATCCGTTTCATTGAAGTGCTCTTTGGTAAACCACATTTTTTTGTTTTTTGGTCTGACGTTAACACAAACAAAGCGGATGGTTTTCCAATTCGTGAACAGGCAACGTATAACTGCCCATTTAAAAAACAACGATTTTCTGAATAATCTATTTGGAATTTATCCCGCAAACACTAAGCGATTGGCCTTGCGACTTGTTATTGCGAATGCAAGGCAAACTGGAAATTGCAATCGTTTGAAGTCAAACGGAAGACCAGTCGGAATCATTGGTATGTCACCAAATCGCCAGCAATTTTTGATTGAGTGGTGAAATTCAGTGCGTGTACTTCATTATTCTTTGCGGAAAGAATTGCTCGTTGACTTGACCAAGCATAATTCTGATAATTCTCACTAATGTCATTATTCGAATTTTTAATTACGGTGCGTGAATTAAGGCAATTTGCATTAAGGCACGATGCCATGCACCACTAATTTTCTTAGCTATAAACCTTGCGGAGCCCGAGACCTTTCCAACGAATGCACAATTGTCGAAATCGGTTCGTGCGTTCTGGAGTTATTTCGTCAGGAAGAAAAACCCGACTTATTTTTATATATATAGAAGATTACATTTTTATTATTATAATTCATGAATAAAGACAGTCCAAGCTATAATCGTTTAAAAATAACAACAATTTACTGATAATAAGGAAGAAATAGTCAATTTTTATTTTATGTAGTAGGGACTTTCGCTGGAGAGTCTTCTTTCTAATAAATAACAATGATAATAGAAATATAATTAAATCTACCATGGCGGTGAATTCTCTGAATTATCGTTCGCAAATCTTTATAAAACTTGCATCCGGTCAAGAACTACTGCTATATATAATTATCAATGTTTCGAAATTTTCTAAAACAAACGCACATTGTGTTATTTTTATTATGAATCTCGCTAAGCTCTGCTTTAAGTGTTTTCAGTCATATTATATTTGCTGATAACGAATTGGAAGAAATAATTTGTTGTTATTTAATGAATAACTGACCTTGCTATCGTTCAACAAGCATGATTATTGAGACATCTATTTATAATTACAGATAATAACTTAATACTTATTTTTGCTGGCATCTTCTGATAACAATTTTGTATTTTCATTTGAGTTATCTGTATGTATTTATTCACTTATTTATATTATTAATTGAAGTGTTTTCGATTTTTTTCCAGCGTTGAAACATATTTGATATGCAGTAATTCGTCCAAATACAAAATGAAATAATATTGAAAATTTTTCTTTAAATGATTTCAACACTTAATGTGTCATAATTTAGCATTTTAATTTTATCACTTTTTATATAAAATTTTAATTGCCATTAACATGAAAACATACGAACAACATTACAAAATAAAAATTAAAACATTCCAAATTTTTTGATAAATAATGATGCTTAATTAATTCATCATTACCTATTAATCTTCTATATATATAAAAATAAGTCGGGTTTTCCTTCCTGACGAAATAACTCCAGAACGCACGAACCGATTTCGACAATTGTGCATTCGTTGGAAAGGTCTCGGGCTCCGCAAGGTTTATAGCTAAGAAATTAGTGGTGCATGGCATCGTGCCTTAATGCAAATTGCCTTATTCCCGCACCGTAATTAAAAATTCGAATAATGACATTAGTGAGAATTATCAGAATTATGCTTGGTCAAGTCAACGAGCAATTCTTTCCGCAAAGAATAATGATGTACACGCACTGAATTTCACCACTCAATCAAAAATTGCTGGCGATTTGGTGACATACCAATGATTCCGACTGGTCTTCCGTTTGACTTCAAACGATTGCAATTTCCAGTTTGCCTTGCATTCGCAATAACAAGTCGCAAGGCCAATCGCTTAGTGTTTGCGGGATAAATTCCAAATAGATTATTCAGAAAATCGTTGTTTTTTAAATGGGCAGTTATACGTTGCCTGTTCACGAATTGGAAAACCATCCGCTTTGTTTGTGTTAACGTCAGACCAAAAAACAAAAAATGTGGTTTACCAAAGAGCACTTCAATGAAACGGATAATTTGCGGATTCACTTTCATTTACTTAGAGAAGTTCAACTAAAAAAACACTTTATTTTTGTAATCGAAATAAATCATTACTGTTGTATAATAAAATCAAATTTTTCCTTTTCAAATATAAAACAAACAAAAAATTTCTTCATCTTTCTCACGAAACCATCTGGTGGCGAAACGGAGTTCGTCGGGTTTGCTAGTATATTTATAAACGTTTATTCACAATAATTTATTAATGAGTTCATTATATTGTTTAATGTCATTTACTTATTGTATAACTTTTATCAACCGCTATAGCAGTAACTAAAAACAGTATTTATTTAACATGTATTAAAAAATTTAAAAAAAAACATGAGCTTTGTAGGGTATCTGAAAAGATTTGTCCTGGCAGATGCTTTATAGGAGATTTAGATTGCATATATTAATATGCAATTGTAATCAACAATAATTAACTCTTTCCACTCGCAAATTGCGAAATGAATATGTATTTTGCCGCCGGGTACGTCCGAGTGAAAAGGTTATAGAAATTGTTATCTTAAAGTAGAGTAAATCTAATTATAATAATGATAAAATAAAGAAATGACAATGAATTGAAGTTACGAGCGATGGCGAAATCGGTTCGGACGTGGGCTAGTCCCAGATTCGCTCGTTCGATCCCAGCCACGGCCAAGTCCGACATCAAGCTGCTTTGATGTCAAATTTCCACTTGAGGTTATAGATCTCAAATATAACCTCACTTGAAAATCGTTTTTCGTAGTTATAGCTGCACATATGATCATGAAATATCATCAAATACCTCAAGTATAGTTAATTAGTCACAACTACTGGGATTGGACAATTGCTGAGTTGTATCCATTCATTCAAAAAAGCCACAAAATCGTCAAAACAATCACCGAATGTTCTAGTATGACAGAAACATGATTACTTACATACTGTAAATAGAAAAAATACAATTAAATGTAACATTAGTTTCTACATATGAAAACAACAAATATATATATGGAATTAAATT